CAAATAAATGCTATTATATCCTGTATGGATAGACCACGCACAGATTCGCTCAAAAGATAATATTTGGTTGCTTTATAACACAGTGTTTCCAATTCTGGAAGAGTGCCTCAGTTTTGTAGTGACCGTAATGCGATTGATAAAAACAAGACTAGTAGTGGATAGGTCCTTGTTACGTCCAAGTTTTTGCTCGTTCCCTTTATTGAAGTACGGTATATCGACCTATTTGCAATTTACGAACCCAAATTAACAATAGAACCAAATTTTAATTTAGATAACAAAGTTTATTCATAAGTTACAAATAGTCGACCCGAAATGTCATTCTTCAGTTTTGAAGGTTCCCGAAGCAAAAACTCTCAAATACCAAACCAAAGACGAAGAGAAACCCAAATGTCCGAAGATAATCATGTAAACAAACAAGTCCGAAAAGTAAGTGAAACAAATACATCCAAAAACACAGTAAAATTATTAGTACACAGTTTTATTCAGCCAAATGCCTACAGTTTTCCCGTAACAGTCTTTTATTTAGATCTTCGCGCAGTCACAGTGGAGCGTGGGATTACCTGTTCAGACAGACAAGACCTCTCAACATTCAACATAAGATAATAGGTAATACAATTCTTATACAAAATAAGTGGATGAGTACTTGAACTCTACTGTTTTGACATATACTTAATTGTTTGAGGTCAGCTATTACCCAAACAACCTAAGCTGTTACAGTTACACCTCCACTTTCCAAAATATGAAGGTATATTGACTTGTAGTTTAGAAAAAATGAAATACCTATAGATAAATTTTACTTTATAACGGCTTAACTCTAATAAGATCTTGTAGTGGCATTGGACCATAACCACACAATCTTCAAAGATGAACACAAGACTACTCAGAATATAGATGTTCAATATTTAACACGGAGAAATACCTAACGATGGAGAAGGCGCGAGCAATGGGTTGAATTTACTGGATTTGATCGAGTGGCATGGCTCGGCCATGCAGTCGTGGTCTCTGCTGAATGTTACCTTATATCTTCTATTCATAATAAATATAAAGTTCTTTCTCTAGCCTAACCTTGTTCTACATCATGTATTGGTAATTGATACGATACAGTGAGTTGGTGTAGTCGATGGTGTGACTTCCACGTAAGATCTTATAGATTAGGCAGTTATATCATGACAAATCTACAAATTTAGGATTAGGTCTATTATTAGAGCAGTACTAATATCATAGTAGACCATAATTCTACAATCTTACACTAAAATCTGAAAACGACAGTTACTGTGTGAGAGTCAGCGATAGCATATATTTTCAGTTTGAAGTGACTGATTCGTGTTTATACGCATGAATGTTTTTAAAAGTTTCTAAAATCAATATAGTCCATGAAAGTCGTATTTTGTAACCTTATAGATTAACACTAGTGTCTAAATGCTGTAAGGTTTTATGGAGAAAACTATCCTAAAGGACATTTTATTAATATTAATTCTAAGGGTCTATATTTTCCGATTGCTAGTATTTAAGACTACACTTTTTCTCTTTTTGTTGTTGCGATATAGTAACATGAATTTTTCATGTAGTTCACTTAGTCCCATGGGAATTACTTTTTGAGGGCTATTTTTTGAATGTGACTTTACTGAAAAGCATTTTCTTGATTATCATTACTAACTTATTGCTTGATGATCAAATTCATTAATTCTCAATTTCATATTTGAACCTCGTATCACCCAATTCAGCTTTTAAAAAGGTGAATAGCATCTCTGGTTTGTTTGTTTGTTACGCTATCGCTGTTCAAGACGGAGTATGAGCACCATGTACCTGGCTCCTGAGTTTTAACCGAACGTGTTCGCATGAAACTCGGTGCATATTGTGTCGTATTCGAAATACCATGCTTTCAAACTCACCAGGGGCGACAGTATTTCAGACAAAGAATTAAAAGTGCTATAAGATAGCACAACATTAAGGTTGAGTTTTTAAAGGAATGATAATGAGAGTTTTTTCGAAGTTTACGTTGTAAGCTGATCTTAGCCAGACCACCGGTGGAGTTCAATCCATATTGAGTGTGGGACTGTTATCAAGCTTAGGCAACGGATAATGGTAGCACAGTATCGTGATTCGGTTGGATTCGTTGGATTCTGATGCAGTGTCTTACATGTTGTGTGATCACATAAGAGAACAAGTGTTGCGGGATCGATTCTCGGTTTTGAGGCCGTAAATGAGCATTGCTTAGATAAATTCGCCAACCAGCTCTTTCAGATTTTCACTTGTGGCCTAGCTAAGACTATTTCTTGATTTAAACCTTGAAAATCCAACAATCTCAAGAAATTTTCTACACGTATAATGAGTAATGAGAATGACATAAAGATTTGGGGACCCATACATGTTATGTCAGAGAGACTAGCACTACAGAGTGATCTCGACTCATTGGCGGCATGGATATGTAGTGACCTACTTTTATCAAGAGAACGCGGTTGGTGTAATGAAAACAATTGTTAGTATAACCAATTGTACCAGGGATTGTTTTACTGTACTTTTTTGTTTAACTGTACTAAGAACAAACGTTCTTCCGTTGCTTGAGACCTTGCTCGAATCCGGTAACCACACTCGTAACCTGGTACGATCTCGGCATTCTTTCGATACCACGAGATCGTCAACAAATACACCTCGACTACATCCTTTAACTGCTTTCTGATATTTGGCCTACAGGGATCTTATCGGTTAACTTCTCGTAGTGGTGATCATAGTCAAAAGTGACTCGACGCCACACTACAGATAAGTGGACGGTCACCAGAAGTCAAGTCAAACAACAGTGCGATAATGCTATTAAATATCTATCATGACTCATATCAATACTCAATAGGTGGAGTTGCGCTATCCAAAGTAATGAACTATAAATATTTAGGATTCAGAATAAGCAGCCATCTCAAAACTATGAGTAACTACAGGTCTGCTGCTGCAAAAGGCTAAGGGGTATTATGGGCAATTCGTAGGTCTTTTTAAGTAGTTGAACGAAGAAATGTTTAGAGTATTATAATCGACTTCCGTGAGACCACATTTAGAATGTGGGGTTCAAGCAGCGAGTCGCTGTTTCAAGTTTAGGGCGGATATACTGGAACGAGCACAACGACGAGGGACCAAGGCGGTAAAAGGTCTCTGTGGCCTACCTTATGTAGACAGACTGAGACAACCTAACTTATTTCCGTTATCTTACCATAAATTACGGGCTGATCTAATATTGGCTTACTGCATACTGAACGATGACCTTAATGTTAATATGTTTTATCTTTTCATCCCCTCTAGAACTCGTCATTTGAGAGAACATTCTGAGAAAGTTCGAAAAGTGAAATCAGACCGTCTACATATGTAGTTCTGTTCCTCGCATCAAGTAGTAAATCACTAAAATTCTCTACCAAAACACATAATATCAGCACCTGTTGGTATATTGAAAACGAGATTGGATTTCCATAGTGGCAAAAACCGCAAGGATTAATACAAGTTGATAGACCGCATATTCTTATTACTGAATACTGATTTGTCAATAACCGGTTCGTTCAAAACTTTCGCTTTGTTGAAGTCACGAGATTTCACCATTGGCTTTTGCCGACGTTTCGTTTCTATATAGGAATACTTCATAAGTCCTTATTGGGCCCACAACATAATTTTCTTGTTCCGCGGTCTGTTATGTCCTTGAATCTCTTAAACGCGTGGTATTATGTACATATTCCTGTATAAAGTTATTATAGTCACTGTTGACTCACGAATACGTACTTGTATATGTATATGTGCATATATATATGTAGGGGTTACTCAATACGCAAAACCATATTTTCGAGGCCTCGGAACAATTTTATGGCGAGGCTATGATTTAATGACAAATCAATTAGGCATAAGATAACCTCTCAGATTTTAGTACGAAATTCACTCATCCACTTAGTTAAATTAAGTTTTGGTATTATAGCTAATGTCATTTCGTGATGAAAATCCTGAACATTAACCACCAACTGTTAATCATAATTCTTATTACTCACACTGGTTTATAATACTCATTCGGTCTCGGTTATTAGGTGGACACCCCCATAAATTGTAGTCTCACCGAGCCTGCACAAAAACCTATGTGGAATTCGGGGTTTGAGTCAGGAAGTTGTGGAACTTGCCGAAAGTCATAATGATGCTACCTTCCGCTAAATCTTTCGGAAAAACGGTTGATCATCACTTTAGTTCTGCAAATACTAAAGGCGATTACTCCAGGTGTTGCTTATTGATCACTCATATCATTAGCTAAGTTGTACCTCTCAGTTTCTCGGAGCATGGCAAGAATCATGCCTCTAATCTTGAACACTCTCCAACTACCCAGACACTGATTACAAGAAAAAAACAGTTCGTTAATCCTGACAAACTAATTGGAAGTTGTAATGCAGTTTACCAAATAGTTTCGTGAGGTTAAACGTCAATTATGACAACGTGTATGTAGCTTTCGTTTACTGCATGGTTCTGGGAATAACTGAATCTTCTTTTCGACCTAACAACTCAGCTGACGGACAAAAATCCCTCGATAATCATTTTGGCCGAAAAACAGAAGAGTCCCATCGGTCATTGTTTGTGGTTTAGATAACTATCACATAAAATGCTTTATATCTTACTCATATCCAAAATTGGCTGCAAACTTGATTTTTGAGATCAATGAATACTCGTGTGTTTATTATAGTCCTTTAATTTATCCAGGTGCTACCACAAGAAAAATGCTGAACGGTATTAAAAAGGAATTGAAAAACATGTTAACACCGAATAATCCAGTTTCTTGTTACGTATTGTGTCCTTCCGTTAGTGATAAAACTAGTGTTTTAAACTCTTGCTGGTATCATATCGCTGCAAAACTTTTGAGGGATTGGTGATCATAAATGAAGAGGTGAATGCTTTACTTCAAACTTTTTTTCAGTATAATCATATAAAGTTTAGGATTTCAGTGCACACTTGTCTTCAGAAATTAATATTTTGTTGTTTCATCTCTTTTAGCAGCTATGTGTGACGAGTCTAGCTACATTAGTAAGCCTATTTCCACTATACAGGAATTGGTACACTGGGACTTCCCGTCTACATCGAATCTTACAATACCTTTAAGCTATTTCAGTGACTTTTTAAATGGTAATTTGTCCTTTCCTTTACCAGCAATCAAATATAGACTTTGGCTTTATTCGTAAGTCCTCTGGATTACCTAAAGTTATATACTGTCATGATATGGCTGGCGGTTATCTGTCCTCTGATCGAACAGTCAACTTCACTTGTGTTTTTCCTGCTTTTCGATTCGTTCACTGGCACTTGGTTGACATATTTATTTACTTCAGTCATCAGTTCATAACTATACCGCCAGTCTCATGGATTAATCTAGCACATAGGTAAGCTATTTTAGAATACTTTTTAAGATACACCCATTTTAAACGTTAACTTAACACTTATTTTTAACAAAAGACCGTAGTACCGAAACCATTACGGTAAGGTCACTAAGTACGTGTCTTTCACTGATGCAAACTAAACTCATAGTTATCTAATAGTTTTTATGTTTGGATTCGGTCTATTTAACTGTTTCTTGTGTATTTTTCGCATTATTTATAAAAAGCCTAGGTACTACACAATTTTCGAAAACATGAGAAAGGTCCTGTTGACATTTTATAACATATGCACTTTTCGGCAAAATGTTCCAAAAATTCACCATAATCTAGTCACATTACTTACTAATAATAACCTATGTGAAAATGATCCATTATCTCGAGGCTGAATTACTGTGTTTATATCAAGATTAACGGTATTTGCCAGTTACTTATTAACCATGTTTATAATTGTAAAGACTTCTTATTCGGCTTAGAATACCTGCCCTATTCATTAGTGTAGAACTTAAAAAAACAAACAGAATCTCTTAATATGAATTGTTTCTCCGAACATAAACTAAACAGTCAGTCAGTCAGCTACAATGTAGGACCAGGCACATTTGTACATCGGTCCAAGTTGTCATACCGCATTAGCGCAGCAAGATGAACACCGGATTCATAAGAGTGGTTAAGTCAGTGGTGATAATATATAAAAGAAAGATTGCATATAAGGATATAGTACAGGAAGAAAGAATTAGTTGGTAAAAGGAAAGATGTAAAGCAGTTTTAATCTCACAGTTTAAGGGAAGACAAAAAGTGTATACAACGATGCCATTGTGATCGATTCTGAGCCATGTCACCAAGAGTCTCCAACCACTGGTTACGATAGTCACGCGGACCCCAACCAAGTAGTCTGCACCTACCAACATAGCTCAGACTAGAAGTTAGTGACTTCAAGCATTGATGCCACGTTTTGGTTTGGCCGTCCTTAACTTTCTTCCAACCATCCCGAACACCGGTTAGCATTGCACGTCCTGGTAATCGGTGTTCGGGCATACGTAACACGTGGCCCAACTATCTCAGTCGATGAAGATTCACAACCTCATCAACTGACTTACTATCATTCCCTAATACCCTGCGTCTAACCTCACTATTACTTACGCGGTGATCCCAGCATATGCGAGCAATATCTCTAGGGCATTTGTGGTCAAATGCTAGTAGCTTACGAGTATCTTCTACTCTTAATAGCCATGTTTCGCAGGTGCAAAGCAGAACAGAGCGAACTGCTGCGCAGTATACTCGTTTCTTAATTTATAGATGGATATCTCGCCTTCGCCGGGTGAATGACTACACTAGGATCCTGTATGCGTGTTTCGAAGACACAACATACGTCAATGGTACGAGATTTTAGGGTCTTAGCCAAGGAGTTCTACCGGCCAATTCGACATACGGTGCGTACGTTAAAGTCTCCAATGTGTAGTTTGGAGCGAGGTTTCAGTAGACCTGGAACAGTGTTTCGCGCACTAGAATCGTTGGCTATGGTGACACTTAAGGAGGAAGCCAAAAGTAGAAGTTTAGAGTTGAAAGTCGATGTAGGAGGAATAATAGGAATGGAAGAGGGAGGTTGATTATGAATACAGTGGTCTTAAGTGTTGTTAGAGGTATGAAGGCGGTTATCACTTCCCCGTTGCCCACATTGTGGAAGGGTTCTTCTGGAGGTACCTGAAAATGAAATTGGGTTAGAGGTAATCTTAGTGACATGAGAGCGTGAGCACAGTGCCCAAGGGACAACTGCTCGAGGTCGGTCACACACGACCTTTTTGTGAATAATTTTCGTGTTAGCTCCGTGCTTGTTGAGACCTTACTGCCGGAGACTGATGTCGGTGGGTTGACCTTTTCTAACCCCACCTCTGCTTGTGGGAAGGTAGCATTGCTGTTATGCTGAAGGAAACACCTTACTGCTGTCACACCTCTGTACAGTCAGCAGTACGACTTCGCCTCAGGACCTTGGGTTTGCTGCTTTTGGTCTTACCGTTCTTCAACCGACCTGTCTGGCATGGTAGGACTTTGAGGAACGATTGTTTCAGCCAGTGTAGCTCGATTGGTTCATCACGATAGGCAAGCCCGACCACCACATCAAGGTAGCAACAACGGTCGGGATGAACTAAACACAATGTTCGCGGTTAAAACATCATTGATAAAAACTCTATTTTTGGCAGATGCTAATACCTATTTATGATGATTCTCATGAATATTACTTTTCTGGTGATAAGATTAAACGACGACTGGACAACTAGTTTTGCAATTTTAAACTCATGTTTACATAAAAGACTGTAAACCTATGACACTTTGATATTTAAACTTGACTGGCAAGAATCGGGTTACAGTTTTTGGTGGCTATGTATATCCATTCTTATAGTAAGTACAATTGAATGGATGCTACGCCTAATTTTACTTGAATACTATTATAGATCTGCCACACCTGTTCTCTCCAAGCTGGAAAAGCTTATCGTTTATCGACTATGTAGCATGTAGTTATGTACATGGTTGCTATAATTCTTTCTCAATGGATTACATTCTTAATGGTCGGTTAGTTATTCTGAACATCTATAAATCTTTTTCTGGTTATTTTTAAGACAGGGTGTCAGTGTCTATGGTACTGTAATTATGGAATCAGTGGAGTGTGATGGATTCAAATTCATTTTTATGGGTTCCTCGGAACATTATCGTGATGTCAATAAAATATCAAACTATAAGGATTTTGCCATACGTTTGGATCAAATAAGACGAGTTGTTGGATTTGAGGGTTGGTTTATTAACTTTGAAATTTCTCTACCCTGGGTATGTAAACATTTATTTAATTTACTGCACGCAATTAATCTTCTAGTTTTCATAATTTTATCTTTCTATATATAGAAATTCACGATATTCATTTTTGGTTTTTGGTTTCTCACTACCAATCGGTATTGTCATTTTCACTCCTTAAGTTTTCCTCACGTCGATTCCCTTTAACTGTACTCACATGAATTAAAGCAATTTAGACCAATGTGAATTTTTGTTTGATCGAACTGTATTTATGTTAATACATCTAATTTTTAACCTTGATCACGTGGCCAATATCTCTATAAATCTGTTTATAGTATGCGAGTATAAGGTTTTAACACGCTATTTATAATTAGGTAAGGTTTTTCTTACACTACCTTGTTTGCTTAAAAGACAGGTCAGCGAATTAATTTCCGTTTAATGTGATCCAAATATTCAGCATTATTCAAATACTATTGTACTTGAAAGTGGAATTTATCGAGAAAATGTTGACTAATACTTAAGGAATAGTACAAACCGAACTTAACTTTGGAGAAAGCATCCATATGAATATGGCGTCCGATTTTTTCAGCAAGTAGATCTCAGATAGTGTTGTGCGAAGACAACTTATCAGAACTGCAAGCAGTCCGATCGCATATTAACTTAAAATATCTTTATAAGAAATCAAGATCAAACTATAAGTGTCTGAACACAAGAAAATCAAAGATAGTAAGGGAAAAAGCAACATAAATCATACCACTCTGGATATCAAATTAAGGTTAGTATGACCATGGTAGGATTAACGTAGGTACAAACTTTTTGAACACAACGGGGTTTAAGTTTTCATATGACTGAGGTATCAAAAATTCCCACATACATACATTTGCTCTCAGTGTTATGGAATATCATAGATTAGCTGTCAGTCACCACCAGTAATTCTCAAGCTGAAGTGGACTCGGGGTAAAACAATTATAATCACATTTTCCGAAATTGAAATATGCTGAAGTCCCAAGTGGAAGAAAATGCAGATACCTAATCAGTATCGTTTCGTGGTAACACGCACTGCTAAGGAGTCCCATACGACGAAATGGCCGTCCAATGCTTCCACGTTTTCCATGGTAGTCTAGCTTTAATCGACCCATGAATTCAACTGTTAAATCACCAATATGTCAACAAGTGCAATCGTATTTCTAGATAACCAGTATCATTAATGTTCTGGTTCGTCGAACTGTATATTTCTAAACGTCTTGCTTGATTTAGTTAATGATGTCGCGAGTCAGTCAATTAAAGCGCTTACTACTGTTTACAAGTGGGGAGAAAAATAGTAGTCTGGTGGAAGAAATATGTCCAGATAAGTTGGAACACAGTTGTACAAAGGCCTTGTTTCTCATCTATGGTTAGCTATTCTATGATTTCAGCCTGTGAGTTTATTTTTCTTCCCTTTTTTTTCTGGAAAGTTTATTTTCGCTTTGTTTTCTTGATATATGAGTAACTCCTAGTTCAAGTTTGATTATTCTCCTGATTTATTTTGTGATTTATAAACTACAAGATAAATGTATGTAAAATCTATTAGGTTGTTGCTACTCATTACTATTATCTTTTAGGAAAAAATTGCTACAATTCGTGATCGAATAAAGAAATTCCTACGAATGCTTAGAAACCTCGGTTCTGAAGTTATCTGGTTCGTATCTTAGTCTTATAATAACTAACTAGATTTTTTGTTATAATAGTTTTATGGTTGAAATAAACATCAAAAAGGATAATTTTTTCTTGCTACTACCTCATCCCATCTAAATAATCCACAAAAATTACATATTTTTCTCTTGAATGTTCTGCTTCCATATAATTACTATGCCTGTTACCCCACGAGGAGAAGCGAAGGTCTCCCACCAGCATTCTCCATCTAACTCTGACCTGGGCAAGCATTTCCAGTTGCTATTCATCTTTTTGATGTCTCATTCCGATTTCCAACACACTGTGTACTTCGGTCTTCCTCTTTTCCGTTTCCCTTCAGGATTCCAGGTTAGCGCTTGCTTCGTGATGCAGTTTGGTGATTTCCTCAATGTATGTTCTATCCACCCCCAACATCTTTTCCTAATTTCCTCAGCTGGAAGCTGATTTGTTCTCTTCCACGATAAGCTGTTGCTGATGGTATTCGACCAATGGACATTATGTATCTTGTGTAAACAGTTTTTTATAAATACTTGTAGTCTTTTGATGATGGTTGTGGTAATTCTCCAAGTTTCAGATCTGTGCAGTAGAACTGTCTTGAAGTTCTTATTAATGATTGTCAATTTGATGTTATTTGACAGTTGTTTTGAGTTCCATATGTTGTCCAACTGTAAGAATACTGCCCTTACTTTGCTAATCCCTACCTTTACGTCTGCATCAGAACCTCCTTGTTCATCGACGATGCTGCCCATTGCTTCAGTGTGCCACAATTTGTTCATGATTACTAATCACGGTAAATAATCACTGTTCATATATATCAAAAAACGGCTGAAGTTTGAAGACAGCGTAGTTTGTACTTTTACAGTTACTTCTTATTATACATGTCAGTAGTTAAAGCGCTCAACTTTTAATCAATAGGTTGCAAATCCCAACTCCACTTTAATTCGGTTTTGTAAATCAAATAAAGTTGAGAGTCAATTACAAAAACATAGATTTAGTTATTGAATTTATATGAAAATTCCTTAAATGTCACAACTTTTAAATAAAATTTGCATCATGTCATTGTTGCTTGCAGATTTGCATTGTTCTTTATTTAAGGTATGATGCACTAACTTGGTCTGGCCACTTAAGCTTTCAGAATGAATTGACCGAAGAAAATTTGCCGTATATGAAAGCTTCTGGAAGTGGTTTATTTCTCAATTATAATTGGAATCCAGTTAAGTTACGACGATCACAAGAGATGTAAGTAATATTTTCATCAAATTTATATATATTTCATTTCGAAATTATAGATCATTCATAACAGGAATTTCGAGGCCACAGCAATATGATTAACAAATAACAAATAAAGTATTGCTGAAATATTGTAAATACAGCTCATTTAATGAAATTAACTTAACATGTATTAGTTCTTCACACTGATAGTTAAATTCATATCGATTGAAAGTACTGGTGTAACTAAATATCGTTGTAGATGTTATGGATTCAACCTTTGATAATGCTGTGGATGCAAACTGCTAAGAAGTCCAATATTACGGCGGAACAGCTATTCAGTACTTCTTGATTTCTAGTGATTGTCTAACTGAAGTCAGTCCGTAGTGTAAAGCTACAAAATCCATTAATCCCAACAATCCCCTATCCTAATAAGTATTTTGCGAAGGTCTTAAATTCTAACGGACTGTTGGTTAATTAAATGTTATGCATTCGAATAACTACTCAAAACTCTTCCCTGTCTTCTCCTATTGCTCAAACAGGGCTGTTAAAGCCGAAGACGCTGGGTTGATGGTACTTTATCATAAATCTCATTGAAGTATTGGCTAATCACTGTTAAATAACCGATTAAGTAATGTTAAAGTTGGTTGTAAAGTTCTGAGATAAAAGGCAAGTAGGTTGAAAGGGCTGTAACCAATTAACCATTCAAGTACCGAGTCTGTGCGATAAGCATGTAAACTTCAAAGTTTCCCGAATACGTGGTATGTCGACCAATGTTCGATGGTAGAATATTTATTAAACTGAATATTCTGTACATACTTCTAGTTCACACAAACGAAAAAGTTTGGGTGTTTTTTCTATCCATCAGTAGCATTTTGTTAGCTTTGGATCTGACTAATTACTTTTTTTTCTATTTTTTTCTCTTTTTTAAATCAAACAACTAGTGCTGTTAATTCTTCAATGTCAACAAAGGTGTTTGTCGGTATTGATTGTTTTGGTCGTGGTTGTATTGGAGGCGGTGGTTTCGGTACAGTCGAAGCACTGAAAGTTGTTTTAGATATTAACGTCAGTTACTTTCTATGCCTTCCTATTTCCAATTAAATTGTCTTGAGAAACTTAGACTGTCAGTTCGCACTGTTAGCTTATCAATAGTGTACCACTTTAAAAATGTTAATGGAGTTTTATACATATTATTAGTAATGAACTGAACTATAATCCTAATGTCCAAACAAAAGAAATTTTGGTTTCGTGGTTTCAACATAGAAAGCCTAAACCTAATACCACAGATTTAAAATCATTTTAAACTAACGCAATCATAAGAATAAAATTGGCATTAGCTCTCATTTAAAATATACAACGCATTTTATTGAACAAACCTGCTGTAATTAGATGGTGGTTGGAGGTATTCAACAGGAAATCCGGGTTTCGTGCTTCCTGGCACTCGTCAACAAGGTGTACCTGTAATCTTGAGGGAACTGGTTCTCCCTGAGGGGTTCGAGCCCGTGTCACCCAGCTTCACAGTCAGAGACGTTACCACTGGGCTATCCAGGCCGTGACTGACCTCCTGTAGGACTGAGATGTAATCACAATTGATTGGTCACTGGATAGCATTCGATCTGCACACATGACGTTGATCACCACCCAGTGATCAATCAATTGTGATTACATCTCAGTCCTACAGGAGGTCAGTCACGGCCTGAATAGCCCAGTGGTAGCGTCTCTGATTGTGAAGCTGTGTGACACGGGCTCGAACCCGTCAGGGAGAACCAGTTCCCTCAAGATTACAGGTACACCTTGTTGACGAGTGCCAAGTAGCACGAAACCCGGATTTCCTGTTGACTACCTCTAACCACCATCTAATCTTAACATAGTGCACGCAGTGTCGAGTCACCTAGACTAGCGACCACATTGCATCTTGGTCGATAGCATTCGATCTGCACTAAAAAGTAGTTGACACACATGACATTGATCACCACCCAGTGATCAATCAATTGTGAAAACTGCTGTAACTTAATTTTAAACACGTTGAAGAGATTGAGATACATTACAAACGATGTTGTTAGAAATCACGTTTCTGGTGAATAAACGCGTTATGATGGAACAGTTTACTTGATAAAGCACGATCAATTAAAGTAGTCAGTAAACCTATCTTTAAGCATCAGGTGAATAGATTTAAAAAGTCAGAACTATCAGTCGACCAACTTGATCATTTATTGAGGAATTAAAATGTTATGTATAAAATGTCTATTAAAGGTATTATAATTTGTCTGATAATATTTAATTGATCTAAGATAAAAATGGTATTTTATACTTGTTATATATGTGTGTCCCACTCATTTCCCTATCATCTTAAAGCAAAAATACCCTGGTTTTTTTTGTTCTCTGTATGACTGTTTATTTATTTATTTATTTGGACACATGAATATTGGTACAAGAGAGCGCCAATATATATGCGCTACACAAAACAATGAAAATTCGAGAGGAATACAAAGAAAGAAAAAAAAGCTAAGGAGCGCAACAAAAAAAAAGAGAGAACAATAACGAAGAGATTGGTGTAAGGTAATGTGCTAGTAATCAGGGAACGCAAAGGTACAATCGGAAGAAATCTTTCAGGTAAGGGAGACAGAACCACTTTTTATGAAGAAAGTAAAAGAAGGTTACAGCAGGATCGCCACTGGCTTCTATTCTGAGCCATATCTGATAACGTCTCTAGCCAGTGTTGCACCATCTCTCAGACCCCAACCAGGGAGTCGTGAAGGACCAACACAAGCCAGTCCTTTGCAGCTTTCTTTCATACCACGACACCATGTCATGCACTGACCACCTCTCCGCTTCTTCCAACCAGTCCCAGAGTCGGCAAATAATGCACGACGTGGAATTCTCTGGGACGACATTCGGAGAACATGTTCAAGCCACCGAAGTCGGTGTTTCAAGATGGTGACACCAACTGAATTATCATCTCTGTGCCCGAACACACGATGCCGAACCTCTGCATTACTGACATGGTGTTGCCACTGAATGTCAGCAATCCTTCGGAGACAGCGATGATCGAACACAGAGAGTCGTCTAACGTCCTCAACTCGGAGAGGCCAGGTTTCACAAGCATAGAGCAAAACTGCTCTCACCAACGCGTTGTAGATCCGACCTTTTACGGCCAGACTAACATCACGAAGGCGCCAGAGGTGGCCCAGATTGGCATAAGCCGCTCTGGCTTTCACTATACGTGCATTGATCTCATCACTCACACCCCCACCAGCACTTATGCAGCTACCCAGATACACGAACTTCTCAACTACGTCTATCTGCTCACCATCCAGGGTGAGTACAGGATTGGAATCCTGCCAGTCTTGTAGGAGTACTTTGCACTTCGAAGGTGCAAAGCACATACCATACCTACGGACACTGACTGCCAACTGATTAAGTGCGGATTGCATGCCTTGGGCATTATCGCAGAGTAAGACAATATCGTCCGCATACTCAAGGTCGAGAAGTCTTTCTCCAGGCAACAGATCCACACCACCATTACTTACATTCATCAGAGCTGTTTCCAGAATGTCATCGATGGCAAAGTTGAAGAGGAATGGTGAGATTGGGCAACCCTGCCTAACCCCACTACTCGAATGGAACAATGGAGAGAGGTGGTTGTATGCCCTCACTCTGCCTGAGGTGTTTTTATATAGGGCTTTTAGGATGTTAATAAACTCCTCAGGCACACCCTTCTTCAATAGACAATCCCAGAGAACAGTTCTGTCCAACGAATCGAAGGCAGCCCTGATGTCAAGAAACACTACGATTGTTGGCCTTTGATAAGTATGGCGGTGTTCTAACATTTGGCGGAGGGTGAAGATATGATCAATACATCCTCGACCAGAACGAAACCCAGCCTGCTCCTCGCGAGTCAATCTTTCTCGGGTTTTGAACAACCTACGAAGTATGACGGAAGCCAATAGCTTGGACGCAATCGGAAGTAAACTTATCCCCCGATAGTTGTTACAGGAACGACGTGAACCCTTTTTAAAGATAGGGACAACTATCGACTCATTCCATGACGTTGGCACACTCTCTAGTTCCCAGACCTTTGTAAACAACGTCGTCAATTCCTTAGTCAAAAAGTCACCACCATCTTTAAAAAGAGCCGGAGGTAAGTCATCTGGACCAGGTGATTTGTAACGCTTCAAGAGTTGGAGTTCCTTGCGGACTTCCTCCTCATTTGGTGGATCAGTCGTCACCGGCCATGGAGGGCAGGACAGTCTGACCGATGTTGCCGGAGCAGCAGGCCAGTTGAACTGCCCTTCGAAAAATTCTGCCCATCGTCCAAGACGTCGATGGATGTTAGTGATTGGCATCCCATCATCAACATCGAGGTGCACAGAACAAGCTGTGAAACACATATGGGGAAATTCGAACACTTCACTTCTATCTGAAGTTTGTGCTGATGATGTCGTTCAGAAGAACGATGAAAGCTCCACGACCATCCCATCATCCTCGCAGATTGTTTCACTCACACCAGACTTCTTGCTGCCAGTGGCTCGAATGAGTTGGAAGAGCTTCCGGTAATTACCAGATGCAGCTGCTGCTTCCAGCTCATTAGCACGCTTCGACCACCAGGCTTCTCGGTCCTTACACAAGCTTTGCCCAATTTCATTACGTAACATCCTTCGTTTATGGTCAAACTCACGGTCACCCGGAGTAGACCGACGGGCTTCAATGAGTTGTAAGGAACCAGAAGAAACCCAGTGCTTAAAAGCGGGACGTTTCGCAAACCCACAACTGACTGTTCCCGCCATTTTCATGGCGTCAAGCAATTGCAACCAATGCTCATCTATACTTTTCGGTGGAGTAGTAGCTAGCCTAGAGGCTAGCTCGGTTCGATACTTATTTGCAACAGAAGTTGCAACCAGCTTGCTAACATCAATCTTTTGGTGGTGGTCACTTCGTTGGCCACTGAAAAGTAAGGCAAGATTGGCGCAGACCAAGGCATGGTCAGAGTCCAGATAGGTACTCCAAAAGGAGCGGCAGTCTTGTACACAACCACGCCAGCGGTAGCTGATCGCGATGTGATCAATCTGAGTCCAGGCTTGGGATGCAGAGGGAGGACGCCAGGTGGCACATCGGCGATGACTGTGCCGAAAGTTAGTGCTAGCTAGAAACAGGTTGTGGTCTGTGCAAAGTTGCAGTAGACGGTCCCCGTTATCTGACCTGCGACCAACGAGTCCCCATCGGCCACCTAAACGGCTCTCTTCTGTGCCTAGACGCCCGACCTGAGCATTCAAGTCTCCGGCTAGTACTACAATATCTGTCGAACGCACTTTCTGGAGAAGAACTGATAACTGGTGGTAAAACTCATCCTTGATTGCATCCGGGCTGCAATCTGTCGGGGCATAGGCGGAGATGACGAAAAGACATCGTTTCTCACACCTGATTTCTTCTCACTTTGATGGAACTTTCTAATCTAACAGCACATAACCGACTGTTAATGGGGATCCAATCGACTAGTGCTGCCTCAGCTCTAGCGCTTAGTGCGACACCAACGCCAGCAAGACCAGACGAAGATGTTACAGGGTCCCCGGATAAGCGCACGTAAAACAAGCTTTTTGAAGTGACAGATGTAGAGCGAATTTGTAGTACTTCGCTAGAGTCTTGAATACGGGTCTCGGATAGACAACAAACATCAATATTAAGACTTTCCAAAGACATAGCCAGCCCTATCTGTTGACCAACCTGCATAAGTGTGCGAACGTTGAAGGCAGCCAGTTTGAATGGTGCACGTGGTTTCAGAAAAACTGCTTCAGTACTCATATTCGATGGTAACATACAACTTTCAACCGGACAGTGACTCGAGAACGTTTAGATACAGTCGGATTTCCACCAAAGACGAGCCGCTGTATAAGTATAAAAGAGGGTGAATAATGTGGGAAATAATAATAATAATAACGACAATAATAGTAATAATAATAGTATTAATAATGACAATAATAGTAATGATAATTATTTGAATCGACTGATTGTTTTTCGGAGCGATAAAAGTAGTTGCCAAAGACATAGAGTTCATCGTTTGTGTGTGGGCTGTGATACTGCCCGGGTGCCCAAACCGAAGCAGGTGGTTTTCTTAGGGGGCCACTCCCCGAGCCTTTGACCCAAAGGTCTAACCCACAAGGCAGTGGAGCATCGTAAGGAGATGCAATCCCATGGTAGTCGGTGACCAAAGATTGGTTCATACGCCATTTGTTCCCGCGGGATACTGGAGCCCATGTGCACCATTGGTTTGTGATCCGGTTAAAGCGCCGGACATACGCTTTTCGTCCTCTCATTTTCGTAAACAACACCCCCACCACGAGAAGGCAATGAGTAGGACTTCCCTGGCAGAAGCTGTATACGCGCGGCCGTGTGAGAGTATTTCGAGAGGGAGAGCGGACTCAACCTTCTTTAGTATTCATAAATCACCGACCCATCCCGCTTATAAATAACTACCTCGCCCTTCTGCCTTTCTGTAAGGTAGTCTAGTTATGTATAGATATTTAACATTACATCGTTTATCAAACGCACTAGTAGTCATTTTTAACATTTTAGAAAATATTTTAGAGAGTACTATGCACTTAAAGATGTATTCAAACACTTATTTGATCCCCTTGTTATTTCTAACGTAAAACTGGTGTTTATCTTCATTTGTATTTCGAATAATTATTGATAAGTAAGTGGTCCTTAATAACATTTACTATGGATTTATTTGCGTTTTTTTTATAACCTTGTCACAATGAGTCTACTTTATTCAGCCGCCAAAAAATAATTTTGACTGAATGTAAAAAATTGTTAGAACCTGACTATCATCTCAAAATATATTATTATTATAACCAAACTTCAGCATTACACGTATTTAAACTACGAAATTCACTTTCCTTGACATAATATAACTTAATACCTTTTCATCATTGATTATAATTATGTTCCACAGGCTTCTAGACCCGACCGCCCATTATCAGTGGCTTTATTTGCACCTGGTTGGGTGTTCGAAAAGTGCGATTTGACAGAAGCAGCTGGTGATCCAATCAAAGCATTCAGCTTATTAGCAGAGATGAACACAAAATTCTGGTCATATTTAAGTCCATTAATTTGTCGTCTACGGGGTTTGAGTAGTATTGATAATGTTACAATGCTATATAAACCTACACTTCCCAGTCTACCCGTTATTCAATTACCTTGTGATTTATGTGAAAAATATGATTCAGATATTTTATTTTGCACAACATGTTGCTCTGGTCAGGGTTTATTACCTCCAAAGCCTTCGACGGCACAAAATGAAATGAAATTACAGTACGGAAGTCAAATGGGTCGGCAACAAGTAGGTGAATTATTATGTTTTCCACATTTATTGTAATCTATTTAGTGTATGTAGTGAGATAATCACAAAGGTTAAGATATTTGAATATATCAATCACAAGTATAACAATGGTGTTCTAAGATCAGCTAACTATAAAATCAGTTGTAGAGAACCGCTAATTTTATTAAAATTATTGCAATCACCACTTTGTAAACAAAAAACCATGTCGCTTTTCGTTTATTAAGTCATAACTATCACATTGGAGTTTTCGGTGACTTGAAGTGAACATGCATATATGTTTTTCGGTGTTTCCATTTGAACCTTCATTATGAATCACCTGCCTATTGTCCGATCGGAATATCTCGGAATTGATTTATTTCGATCGTTTCCAGTTTTATTAATTTGCTATCGAACTGCATACTTTGGTAATTTTGATAAGTCATTATTTACTTTGTTTAGATATCCAGCTGAAAAATTTGCGTGTTCACAAGTTAAACATCCACGTTCGATGCATGCTGTTTCACTTGTATTGCTTACAGAAAACACACACTAATTTTACTTTCTTGTTAAATATTATTGATAAGATGTAGATGTAAGCTTATTTTTCAGCAAAATATTTTTCAATTTTCCAACCAATGCAGTAGGATTGATGAGTTTGTTGGGATTCTTTGTTGTCTATTTTCGTTATAGGTTTTTTTCGTGAGCGAGTAGACTTGCCTTTCCTTTTATTAATGATTCATAAAGACAAAAAACCACTTCGTTTACGATATTTCGAGGTAGTATGGAATATATTTGTGTTGAGTTATCATTTTGTGGTTCATCATAACCCCATGGAGAGAAGAGTCCTAGTGATCGTCGATGGTATCGATTGGCCTGAAGAACTATCAGATGTTATTTTACTAATTTGTGTGGCTTACATCTTTTACTGCTCATCGTCAGTCAAATTTACTTTGAAACAAACAAAGTATATAATAACTTACACTTGCTCTTTGTGGTTAGTAGTGTTTAAATTCATTTCATATTTGATAATACATTTTCTAATCGACATATCGTTTGTATGAATGACTCGCTCAATTACTGAAAAGGATATAATTGTCATTTATGTGGTGCTTACTGTTATCTTGTTCAATAGATATTTCCAACTTGCCGTGAACTAAACAAATCATTGACTGATAACGACATGACGAAATTTAGTTTTTCCGTAAGTCGTCCAATGATTAGTTGGTAGTTTTTCCAGTTTTTATCCCACTAATTCAATTAGTTTTCTTTATCGGATCACTAATTTATTTTCTAGGGCTTTATCATGTAAGAACGTGCATTCTTCTAGAGACTTACATTCCTTATGGACTGATGAATAAATGTAAACTGGATTTTTCATTCCCACAATGGTAGTTGAGTATTGCTGTCTTTTAAAAAAAGTCCTCTAAGTGTTTACTTTTCAAGTTTTTGCCACCAGTAGCCCGCTCATCATTTCCTTTCAAGTCCTAGATTACGTGATCATGGGTGGTGATCTATGTTCTATTATTTATTGGTTCCAAACATTAAAAAGCCCCCTCGTAGTTTGGAGTACCGTTTTAGAAGGTCATGAGACTTAGTCGTTAGCACTGGTAGTCCATTACGAATATCAGTAGAAATAGAGGAATTACTAGAAACTGAAGGAGAGTTTCATAGCAAATAAAATAACTATAGGCATTCCTGAAAGTTTGGAGTAGGGATTGATGCTTCCCGGCTGCCTTTGTAGTGAAGAGACATTTATACTTGCGGAACCTCAAAATGAAATTTGTTTGCTGCCAAATCTTTCATCGACCCAGGATCGTGGACCATACTACTCAAGGGACAATTACTAAAAACAGGTTGCACTCAACAATTTACGCAAATAATTATTTCTTGTTTGTATTACTAAAAATATGACTTTTTAAAGCATCCTAGGACAAAACAACTGTTCATAACTCTCTGATTTTTATTGAATTATAGCTAAATTCAGTCCTTGTTTTAAATTAACCTTGGACATCATTTTTGTTAGCTTGTTGGGATTGAACTTAATGATGCTAGCTGGTTTACTTTCTTCACATGCTCATTACGTATAATGTTTCATTTCATAGGCTGTCCAAATCTTGGAAACAGGTTACGAAAAATTCACAGGAACGTGTTTATGTATACGTTTCGAACAATCCGATATAGTAGTCGATTTTGAGCAACAAAAATCAAATGATTCACTAATGGAGTTATTTCTTTTTGGTCATAATTCATTTATATCTGATAAAGCACAATTCAAACTAGCCATTACTCCATACACTTTAAATAAGGAGACATCTTTGCCATCTGAACAACGTTTGGACCATAAAATCGGTTTAAAACTGTTTGTGGATACATTTCATTTCCCGGATAAAAATGATGGTGAAATTAATTTTAAGCGCACATTTCTGAGAGCTGATGAGGGTTAGTTTTTTGTCTTACATTTGACTTTTGACGATGTTACTTTACTTTCTGAAATATAATTCTTATGATTTCTTTGAGTGTTTTGTGTTGAAGCTCAATAGATCATTTTCACTGATGACTGACCGATTCATTCTTAACCACATTAGCTGAGTTTGATGTTCACGAAGGTTAAGGATAATTTTAGTATAATAAACCATCAGTCACGTCATTTTGATATAAAATCTAAATATCACAAGCGTGCTAGTCAAACCCGAAGTAGGTAGAAAAAGACTGAAAACTCTAATCTGATTATTAGTTATCAGTCGGTTACAATTTGTTATAAATGAGATTTGTTAAATGAATAAGGGTTGTGATTGTGAAAGTGAATCAATAAGGTGCCTATCAATTGGTGAAATTCAGTGATACAATAGAGTCGAATGGTGGTTATTCACGAGATTGAATTATCGACGTAAGCTTCCGGTCGAGCTGGTATCATACAATAAAATGTCTGCCCAGTAGAATAGGTTTTCCACTAGAAAATAACATACTTAAATAAAAAATATTGACATAAAACTGACATGATTATGCGTTATAAATGATTTGATAAAATCGATTTTGTATATTGTTCATTCTATATGTGAATGAAGGACTTAACCGTTAGACTTCCCCATCATTTCAATTTCATAATGTCTTTCTGTGTTACTGGTGGTATTTTGTGTACAAAATTGCAATGAGCTGCCACGAAGTCTAAGACTCGCTAGTTTCTGCTGGCTTATAGTTTCTAATAACTTATTCGTTTCCCTTTATATGTGTCATTTATACAAATTTTGTGACTAATCTAGAATTCCTGTCTACTTTTGTTTAAAAGTTAAACAATCTATTGTAGATTTTAGCAAAAACAATGTGGTCATTACCAAAAATGTCTTTTAGTCAAGTCACTTGCCAGTTGAAGTCAATGGTAATAACTACTCCTGTAGAAAATTGTTTATAGTAGTGTGTTGATAGATTATACCTATTTATTTACTTTAAGATGATGACTGATTAAATTACCGTCACTACTCTTGAACTTATAATTACCAAATCTCAGCATTTTTAAAATGTTATTACCATTGGATATCAGCATTCCCTTGGAGACTGGTGATCGAACACTGCAGGTTATTGAATAGCCCCGATTCGGAGGACTAGGTTTCACAGGCATAGAACTGAAGTACTCTCAGTGACGCGTTGTAAACCCGATCTCTTGCTGACAGATTAATATCACGACAATGCCAAGTGACACAGATTGGTATTAGCTGCTCTGACTTATTATACATAGATTGACTTCATCTGTCATTCCACTACCAACACTCACAACTACCCAGACACACAACCTCTCTAACTATTTCTAATAGCACAGCACAAACAGTAGATGTGGACACAGGCATCTCCCAGTCTAGTTGAAGTACTTTGCTTTTCAAAGGTTTAAATAAATTACCATACCTACAGACACTAATTCTCAGCTAATTAAGTGGAGTTTGAATAACCGGCATATTATTGCACTGCAAGAAAATTCCACCCACGTACTGGAAATCAAAAAGTGTCTCTCTAAGTAACAAATTCACGAATCTATACAGCCCATATTTTGATATTTGAGCCACATTATACTATCGTCATTATAACGTCTAACAAAATATTCCTAGCTACCAAAGTCGTTTCGATTGTTTTTGCATTTACACAATTTATTAATACTAACAACATACTATTGGTATTTAGTGCCATTAAGAGCTAATTTAATTCAATGTCTCAGTATACAACTGTCCAGATTGCAATAGGTTGAGTAGAATTCGAACCTACAAGTGAAATGTTAAAATCCAATCGATTAAACCACTGTACTGTCAAACCACTTTCTTCCTTGCCGTTAATGAAATCTCGCCTATGTACAGTTCTTTTTTTCAGGTATCACAAGAAGAGGTTTATGTATTTACTTTCAAATCGCCCTGTGTGAATAAATTTTTCCCATGAATATAACTAATTTTAAAGTACAGATAAGATAATCTAAGCAAAAAAATTATAAATATTAGTTTATTCTTATTCTTCTTCTTATTGTTATCATCATCGTTATTGTCATATTTCTATATTTAATCCAGAAAGAATTGAATTGAAAAACAATATACCTTGGTCTTTACTTCATTACAACGTAACTGATCTCATTTTTGATCCCAATAAAAATATTTCAGAGTCAGAAAGATTTTCAAATACAACATCTTCATCACATTGTATCCATCTACATCGTATCGGTTTAACTTGGAGTTGGAATTCGATTTTACATACTTATGATAAATCTATCATGAAATTCAATGGTTTTCTTATAGGTTTAATTGAACTACGTGATCCTCAATGGCCATTGGAAAATTATTTTGAATAATAAATTGATTAACTAATATGATTCATGTGTTTTCTTCACACATCTTTCACTCTCTATTGAATTTATTTATATTCTTTTCTTATTCTATCTCATAATTTTGCATGATTTTTGTATTGTTTTATTTTTCTTCCAAAATTTTTATGTTACTGTGATCAACAACATAATTGTTGTTATTGATAATATGACTACTATGACTTTCAGATTTTTATACTTAGTATCTTATTATCATTTGTATTATTTATTAATAGTTTCCCTACATAAACAATAAAAATATCGACTTCAACCTTGCAATGATTTCTCTGTCAATGGTATGTATGTGTATGAGTCATGTTTTCAAAATAATTGTAATGATCCATTATCTTTTAGATGTTGTACGAACTAATTTTATTAAATTGTTATCTTAAACAGAAGAAGAACGAACATTGATGCAGAATAATACGAATTCATTTTATTTTGTTAGGTTCTCATTAGCTGCTTACAACCTAAAATATTTGAAAATAATCGTTATTACAGATATTGACATAATTATACATACGAGAGTGATGAAAGATGAATATATGTATTATGGTGTAGTGAAGATTCCGATAGAGTTAATGAGGTCATAAAATAAAGTTTGGGAGGGAAAGTCCCAGAACATTGAAATAGTGATTAGAACTCATTGAATTAAAAACGCATTAGATGACTATGTAATGAAGTAACTGAAAATAGATTAATAGTAATAAAGATATGAACTGAAATCAGTCAGTTATGAATTGAAGAAAAATGATAATGATGTAATTTATACTTCAGAAAGAGTTGAAATAATCGATGACGTAATAAATAAAAAAAGTTTAATGTTACCAGGGCAAAGAAAGATTTATTACTGTCTCTTTCTAGATACATAGATCTGGTTTTAGACGTTTGATTGCGATCGCTTTGGCAAATTTCAAAAGGTTGGAGTCTGATTGTTTGTTAATTACCTTGAAGGACTTCAGTGTATCGACTTCATATCCTGTGTCAAGGAGATGTCTTGCGATGGCACTGGTGGATGCTTTTAATCCATTTGATCTTAAACTTTTCAGAATATGTTCTTTGAATCGGACATAGACCCTCCTATCTATTCTACCAATGTAATTGCTTTGGCAGATACATGTAAATTTATATACACAGTTGATGGTAACATGAAAGAGATACCTGTCTACCTTTGATTGTGTTAAAGAACATGTTGTTTTGGACAGGACAATCAGTTTAGCTGCAGTATAAGTTTTTGTCAATGCAGTTTTTAATCTCAAATTGATTGACCCCGTGACTTCACCTTTGAATTTAAGTTGAATAAAAATATTTTTTGTATTTGCTGTAGTTCATCTGGTTTTTTTATCTACACGTTTTTCATATTTCTCAATAAATTTCAGTGGGTATCTGTTATTCTTTAAACATTTTTTAACATTCATAACTTTCTCTTCTACTGTATCTGCAGTACACATTCCCTCTGTTCTGTGAAACTGTTTTGACAAGTGCCTTTTTGTAACTGATTGGACAAAAGCTATTGAAATTGAGATAAACCCCATTCCATGTGTGTTTTTTATAGACTGAATGTGGAACTGTGCCATCCTTTCTTCGTTTCATTGAGATATTGATTTAGTTTCCAGTCAGGTGTCAAGAACTTTGGTCTTGTTTCTGCACACAATTTTCTCAATTATAAATGCTTTATTGGAATTGTATGCACAAACGATTTTTCAAAATTCATTTCTTAAAGAATTAACCAGACAGTGAATTAGCGATTAAATAACACAAGCGGCTGCAACACCACTTTAAGTGGTCGATGGTTATCCATAACTAACAAACTTAGTTTCTCACTTAACGTATTTATTGAACAGAATATACAGTATTTGTTGTGTTATTTGAATTACGACCGATATCATGTAAGACTAAATTTGTGTGTGTTAACCGGTCACTTAACAGCGTCTCCGTTAGTACTGGGTGAGGTCGTTTAATAATAACAATAATTGTACATTTTCTGATGCATGAATTTTCACATTTATTGGAGACTGTTCTATATAATCGTTGGATTTTCATATTTATTTTCAAATATAACAATTTGTAAATGATTTTGGTGCCTGTGGTATAGCATTTTGAAGACTTGGTCCTTATATTGTTTGCGGTCTTCATTTAATTTGATTTGTAATGGTCTGAATTATCTTGTTTTAGATATTTTTTGACTGAATTCTGACCAGTCTTAGTTGGAATATGTGCATCCTGTGCATGTTGCTTCAATATAACAATTACATCACAAATCGTTATAGAATAAATGGAATGCGGCGAGCAGTGTAATCCAGTACGCTCGTTTCGTCCTTTTTGAGACTTGCCAGCTGGATGCACCTGTACCTCTGTATTGTTTGCAAAATGACGGGGATCCAGTATCTTTCACTTCAAACACCCAACGGGTTATATAATTCATGAAGTTTCTTATTGTCATTTCGGGAATTTCTTTTATAGATGTTAAGGAAAGTGTGGTTTTCCATTTCCAACGAATTCGTGTGTTCCGCACTCATGTTATTTCTGTACGAGTTTCACACGTTAAATACAATTTCAGATTTTTTACTTACTTTCTATAATGTTTGATTCAACCCTTGTTTTACTCTTGACAAGTTTCATATATTATAGTCGCAGACTTTCTAGTAATCTTTCAACTTAAAATCTTTTCAGATTCCGAAATTGTCACCATTCTCATATTACTCCCTGTTACCGAATTTCCCGAGTACCAGACTACTTCGCTTTGGAACTTCATTAGTACAACTTTGCAGAAAGCCGTCCAATCAGAGTGGAAAAGTTGGTGACTATGGTGCAGCTGTTACTCGATTGCGTTTTCCAGTTTCTCCAAGACCGATTCGTATGAGAAGGGCTGAGGGTGTTGGTGGTGGTGTAACAGGTCGTATGATGTTGCTTAGACGATATGTTTCAAAGCTACTTGATGATGAACGCATCGAATTACCATGGCCACATGCTACTGAAACTCGATTATACGCTGAGCGTTTGATTCAGGAAAGCATCTTGGCATCAGCTGAACAGGATCTCGTTTCGCTATTTGAACTTTGGAAAAATTCTAAGGAACCAAAAACCAACGATAAACTCAATCTTGGTATTCTAGAGCTTTCTGTGTTTTGGCTAACTGAGGAACGTTTAGTTGAAAAATTATTCAAGGTATTCGAAAAACTAATTTTTAATTTTGTATGTTCTGCATTTTTTGTAATTTTATCTGCATGCATCAACTTACTAGTAACAGTAGGATTTGGGTTTATGTTTTGTATACGCTGTTGCTCATCACCAGTTTTATGCAGTATTGGGAGTCTTATTATCTTTACTCTGAAATAAGATCGTGTATCGGAAATTTGCTTCACAAATTCTGGTTTTGGCAGTCGAGTATTATTGTTAGCTATCACATAGTGCCATCTGCACGAAACTGTATTTACCTGCTAAATTTCAGTCCTGTTCACTGCAACATCTTATTTGAAAAGACCATTTCTGGCTTTTTTAAATCAAATATATACCTAGTTTCTTAACCAACATGTGATTTGATTTTAACTTGGTTCGTGTCAAAGACTAACAGTTTTCAAACGGAGTTCTTTAGGTTACTTTTAGCTATTAAACCTGACTCCATCTTTGGGTCGACACAATCAACTGCTTAGTCCATATAAGTATTTATTTATCATTTGTATTGGCTGGGAACAAACGATTATCAATTATAATTTGCAGGAGATAAAGCCCGTTACCATTCTATTCATCTGGGGTGGGAATGAATGTTTAAAGAACCATTTCACCCCGTCCAATATATTCACCCTTCCAATATCTTATTCGGAGTCAGTAGCAACTATGATTGCTTTCATTTGTTCGACATCCTCAAATAGGTTTGGCTAGCTTTTATAAGATTACTTAAAACGGAGCTGAAAATGTAGAATAACGGTAAGTCACTCATTGTTGGGGAGATCCAAAATATTCCTCGCAAAGGCACGTAGGGGTCCGTAAGACTCTGAGGAACATTTTATCCAGTCAGCGTTGAACAGAAACCGCTCAGAAGCATCTAGAAAGTGAGGAATCAAGTGTCACGTTTTTGATTGAATAATTACCTGTGCTTCTACTATATTTAATATGGTTCCAGAAACTTCAGAAGCCCAAGGCTGTTTGAAATAATATAAACACCCTCGTTTTTCTATACATAAACTAACCTTGGAGCAAAGCATTCTTTTCGCACTTCGTGATTTTTTTTCTTGTGCTCAAGCTACCGTGTAGATTTAACTTGGGATTTTTAGAAGAGATTAGAAAACCGATTCAAGCATTCACTTATAAGACTTATAAGTGGCAATAGCCCTACGTTGTAGCTGACTCTCTAAGCGTCCACGAAATTGACTTTAATAAAGCACGAAGAGTTGACGTCTGAAATTCCAGAGTCATCAAACCTACGATAATATTCCTGTCTACAGAAAAGTCGTATTGAATTATGGCGCTGTTTAGGTGAAGTTAACTCAATAAGTATACTTGCATCTTGCATGTGTGTCTCAGGAACGTCGTACATAGACTGGATTGATTCAGTTTTGGCTAGTGTTGTTGATCCGTTCTGAGATACGGATTTTAAAGCGTTTGTCAGTAATATGGTTTATATAAATCAAAAGTTTCGTAGTCTCGATGGTCAGCTTGAGGAAACGTACAAGTTTATTTATTCGTTTATCTAGATGTGTTGGGTTTATTGCTCAACATTAAAGTCAGATTTCTGAGATTTATCTCACTTAACTTTTTGAAAAGTGTTACTCATTGGAGAGTTCTTTTCTGTTCTACAATGATTATCACTTCCAGCAATCGGAAGTTGTAAAACAAAACAAATTGCATGGTTTTCTATGGAGTGTTTTTTTACCGTCCAAGTTTACATAAAGGTATTAGTTGTCAGTTAGTTTTAGCGCAAATACTAAAATTGACTTTCAGTTTAAAATAACATAATGATTAAATTCTAATTTAGATTATCAAATTTATGTCTACTATTTAGTGACTGTTTGAATTTGTTTTCAAACGTAGTTGGATATAAGTGTTTATTTTGCTTTGTTCACATCCTTAATAATAATAATATTATTATTATTAATTAACTAATTAACAATAGGATAATGACTAGGTATCCATACTGTAATTCTAGATATCTAAAAGAAATAACTATTAGATTTTCATGAGTATCTATAATGAATGAAATCAATTTAACAAAACTCTCAATATACTAACAGATTTTGTAAATGCATTAGTAAACATATTATAATAATAGATTGTTAATTAATAGATTCATTAGGTGAATTTTACTAAGGAATAATGAAGTATAAAGTGTATATTCCATTCAATTTTAGGCTAGACAAATCTATGTTGTATATTTATCATATTGACTGTTTATGTTCGTACACTAGAACTGGAACTCATTATAACTATAGTTTAGATAGTTTATTTATTAAGCCCCAAATATGACTAATTAATTTGTTTATTCACTTTATAACTGAAACTTGTTCATAAAATCTACATATAAGCTCTGTGGTATTTATTCTTTTTTTCCTGCTAATACTTTGTGGTGTATATTACTATAGTATATGATTTAATTATTTTCGTTTCAGGTATTTGTACCAAGATACAGGTTTTATGAACGCGCATACACTAGTTTGTTTCAGATTTTTCCTCCAGTTCATCCGATAAAATCTAGTGGTACTAAATCATTTGGAATATTGGAATTGCACGGAAATCCATGGCCACCTGTTCGTGGTCATGGTATAATTGGACGAAGTTTAAATCCAGAACCATTTCAAGATCGTTATCTCATCAATGTTCTATTGGATGCTGCACGTGAATCATCAGCTAAGAAGAATTGTACACCATCCACATCACCACCTATTGTAATTGATTATGAACTACGTCCAATTAATTGATTGTATGTGATACACTTATGTAAATATCCATTATTTATCTATTAACGGATCTTGTAGGTCTATACTTCTATTCCATATTCCTTATAAATACTTGGAAAACTTTTCATATTATGAAATAAATTTGCATTTTACTGCATGTACTCTTTTTGATTTTTCGATTTATTGGAAGAAATTGTTAGTTTCAGTATATTTCTAAAAGACTATTTTATACCTTATAAGCCGTTAAAAGTTTGACATTTTCTCTGTGTAGTGTAAAAAATGTGTGTTTTTTTTTAAAAATAAATCATTTTTTACAGACTTAAGTAGAATCAGTTGTCTAGCAAATACTTATCAACTATTTCCTTATATCTTCCATGACTCCGTAATTTGTGCTCTGCCATGGCTAACGTTAGAAATCATTTTAGTTTGCGGCATGATTGTGTTAATTATGCAATCAGTCGAACAGTCTTCTGTTATGATGAAACTGAAGGATAGTTAAGATGAAATAGTTATCTGTTTAAAGCCTAAAATTTCCCACTGCAATTAGGTCTATTAAGCGAATCTACATACTTTTTCGAGGGTCAGAAGTTCACAGCGACTGGGCATAAAAGATGTAGTTATACTACTGTCTGTACTGAAGTGTGGCAGTAGTAAGGTTTTTTCATAGGTGGTCAGCATCTCCAGCTAGTCTCCCTTTATACAAAGAAGAGTGGTTAGTAAGGAGAATAGCTCGAAAATACATACATGCTTTTGTTTCAGATTTTCAGTGCTGGGTGTTGAGCACTATAAAATCAAAAATGGTTACTTGCGAACAACTTTGTGTACGCAATTATTTTTTTCGCTTCACACTCATCCAGAGATGGACATTGGATTTCAAACCCTTAGTGATCTAGAGAAATTAAGAGCTAAGAAGAGCAATAGGACTTGATGACCAATTTCAGAGTGTTTTAAGGACTGTGACCTAATATTATAAGTATAACCCATCATTATTTTAGATCGAGCAAGCTCAGCTATAATTCTTAACTATGGTCTGTCACAATATGGGTGAAAATCGTTTCCGTATTTCCACTTACTGTCTGACAGAAATAACTGATGTGGGTTTTAAAAAGCATGTTTAAAAATGTCTAGCGAGAGCTGTACAGGTCCGGAAAATCGGAAGTATTTGATTGCTGTGTACTTGTGTGATAATTGACGTCAAAAGTATTAGCATTACATTGAGGATATTTCTTGATGAAAGTTAAGCAAGCGTCTGTAAACTTGTGAATTTTGATATTGACTCCCTGGATGATTGGAAGAGACGGTCCCCATGTGATGAATGGTGTGCTGTTTCTGATAAGTTATCGTAAAATCCATTTTCGTACCTACCCTATCATCTATTTTAATCACATCTTTTTAAATTAAGCTTAGAATTGTACCTGTTTGTTTTCCTTTCACGTATATGGTATACTATTACCTGATCAAAGTAAGTCCTCACTGTTCACCACTAGGTTAGATTTACGTATGCATAACAATCTAAGAAGATAAGGAACTTTTTAAGGTTTAAAGGTAAGATAAACTAAAAACTAGAGGACACTGGGGAGATTTTTTTTTGCGAGTATGCAACACGTCTAATGATTTCAGGTTCGTGGAATTCTCGATTATCATCGATTGTCACAAGTAAACATTCGTTTCACCCTCAAATCGGTTGACTTTCTTACCTCATTTAGTTGTTGCAATTTTCTTTTTTGTTATTTTGTTAACTTATGCAAATAAAGTATTTCGATTATATTACAAATTTTCAAATGATACCTAATGTGTTTGTTTATACCATGTATGTATGATTAACTGAAATGAAAACATATCAGGATAATAGTAATCTTCTTATAGACTATCGCTTTTTGATATCAACTTGATATATGTCACCATAAAATAATTTTCCTTCTAAAAAATAAGTCCATTTTATTAAATGGGATATATAAATTTTATCATTTCACGCACTAATCGATCATTTACAATTGATTAATATTATATATATTCCTTATTCATAACTAAATCCTGTCAAATAAAGTACAATTAAAAAGGCAATAATAGCTACAAACTGTGCATGTACATTAATTTATCATACCTGTTAACTATTATGGTAATAATAGTATAAATAAAATTACATTGAGTCGGCTTCAAAATGTTAAATAAAACATCGATCAGCAACGTTCGATCTTGACTATGATACTTCCACTTTCTTGGTCTTATTTAGATTTACACCTATTATATTAGCTTCAGAAGTTTGTGGAGATTAATTTAATTTGAACAACTATCAATAATCACTAGACACTTGTTTTACTCTGGTTTTTAAACTCAACTGTGCGCTCACCGACGGCCTTACTTAGTACCAAACTCAAATCCTTTTAGATTTTATGACAAGCGTTTAACTTTTGGACCATTAAGTTTTCGCTCTGCAGTGGATAACATTTCAATAATTCTCCGACTGATATTGATCAGTCACCAAAACCAATATCCATAATGATGTCTTTTTAACGCATTAACGAAAGCATTTTTAATTAGTAATTGCCTTCATGTCCTTTTTTTTCTCTTTCCAAATTTATTTCACTGCATTATACTCCTTTAATAACATTTTCAAACCCTAATCTTTCCGATTACTGCTTATACTCTTATCTTCTCTACCACTACGGGATTTGAATCGACAATTGTATCTGTGTGCTAATGTGATATGGCAACTCGAACTGATGTACGTACGTACGAAGTTCTACGTTGTTATTGACTGACTGAGTAATTGCCTATGAAAAAAATGGAAGATTTGGTTGTGTTTATGTCATGTTTCTTCAATCGTAAACAGATAATATATTTTAAGAAAATCAAGGAATAGAATTTTTGACCGACTTAAGTTTTTCCATGATACCGAGTTAACTAAACTTATTCTTGTTAAAACGGCTATTAAAATTTTATTGTGACATTTACTGTCACATTTTGTATATGAGTGAGTAATTTTGACTTAGTGTAACTTGCGATTTGCACTAACTATTTACCTCTGTTATTCTAGCTAGATTTCATTTAAAAAGTACCTAAAATGTTTAAGTGATTTGTTTCAAGATTTTGAACAATTCTCGTACTCATTAAAAAAAATGATTTTAGCATACTCATGTGATACTCATGTAATAAATTACTTTATATCGGAATAAGACATTATCTTATGTGAATCTATTGTCCAGTATTTAAAGCAATTGTGTATCAACCATTCCATTACAATTTCAAGTTTTATCCTATCCCTTTCAGTTTGAATAGCTCTCGCACTTATAGTTAAACCTAATATCGAGTACATGAACAAGAACACTTAATGAATCGGCTACACTACATTATATTATTTATTGAACTCTACATTTTATAATAAAAAAAGTGCTGAATGCAAAACCAATTACGAATACCGCTTTATCTTGGATATGGTCATAAGAAAGTATTTACAAGACATCAGCTAAATATTATTTCTATTCGATGGAAAACAGTGTGTCCAGAAATATCACATGATAATGAAACTACTGTATCAACATCTAGTCCTCGGTGGAATATTTTACGTAAGTTACCCTTATTTGGTTAAAAGTATACTTTTGTTTTTGTTGCTCGAATTTCCTTCGAAAGGTTTGAATTATTAAATGTCTATTCATTTTATTACATTAATTTTGATAAACGCTTTCTTAGTGATTTATGCATAGATGATATTGGTTAGAAGGCGACATTGTAATGAGATTTTTGTTATGGATAATTCCAGTTATAGTTTTAAAATATTATGATAAAAAATTTGTTAAAATTGTATAAGGATAATACAGGAATTTACGTTGACATCATGATTTCTTTTAAAAGATGAAAATTACTATTTTAACATTGTTCTCCTTTTTTATAAAGAAGACAATTAGAGCTTAACGTTTGAATTTTTTTCGATACGAAGGCTTGTTTTTATCTTCCTTATTTATATGGTTTCCGTGAATGGTAGTAGAATGGATGTGTATTGCGTACTGATTATTTTGAGGGAGTACCTACTTCCCACCTCATGTTTCATGTCAAGTACACGAAGCTTCTGTCTGCGAGACGATTTCTCTTAGGAATACACCCATTAAAACACCTAAATTCCTGTTTCTCTATCTTTCAATGTACCTGATTTTGTATGTATATGCAAATCGGTGAATCGAGTCGGAGGTTTAATATGCTAGGTATTTGTTTACTTTGATATCTGTTATTCAGTTTATTGGGACCTATTTCGATGAAGTAAATGAACTACATAAAACTACTTTCAGTCTTTTATTCATCTTTTTGCAATTTTGTTGCCTCTGAATATGATTCAAATAGTTTTATGTTGCTTCTCTTGTATATTTATTTCATCATAAGTGAGCCAGAGTAACCATTTGATCGAAGATAACTTTCTATTTCTAAACATTCTTCTTCAATATTATCTGTAAAACATAACTTCCTCTCTCCATGGTAAAGGAATTTTATTAGTCTACATTTATAACTTAATGAACAGAAACTATGAAAGTGAAGTAGTGTAAGGTCTCAATCTTATAGTTTTTATAATGTGCTATTCAGGATACCCATTTTTCTCTGGAAGATTTATTTCATTCTTTGTAGCATCAGGTATGTAGAAGTATGATGTGATCGACTGGACTGAAATAGTGATGAGAACAGATTTGCAGTAACACGTCACAAATTGACAACAAAACGATTGGTACTCCGAGAACCATACATCATAAAAATATCAGAAGACAACGTGTGATGTGTAACTTGTGATAATTCTCATATGATAGAAATTGAACTCCTTTTGTACATTTTTAGACAATCTAAAATCAGTCGAAAAGTAATTAGATAATTTATGTTCATTGAGGGTTCAACAGGTAAATAGATTAACCAATAGATTATTCTGACAACTTAGCAGCATGGATCAAAATCTAGTGTCGAAAAATTTATACCTCGTTAACCAACGGCTTAAATGGTGATTTTCAATATACCCACTTTCCATCTAGATTATTCAATTATAT